CAGCAAGCAAGCATTTTGTATGAAGAAAGGTGCAGCTGGATTAAAAGATGGGGGAAGCCCTGCCAGGATAAAACATCAATTTCCATGGAATAAAGAAGATGGATGGGTGTGCTGTGTACTGTGTAGGAAGGAATTAATAACAATCTTTATAGTAGTATGCGATAATTGGGAGATGGAACTAGAAGAGTCGGGAGATGTCTGATCTGTCTTTAGAAAGACGAGAAAGCTTTGTACGAGGATTCTTTTAATTTTTCTGATGTGATTTGCTGTCTCCTCTCTAATATAGTAATATTATTATTATTGCCGTCGGCGTTAAGATTCTTGAATTTCATAGTGCTGATTGACAATTGTACCAAGCGCAAGCAGCGTTGCAGCTAGGGGTGGCAATTTTCGACACGATTCGAAAATACGACACGAATCTAACACGAAATTAATGGATTTGGGTTGAGATTTTGCGAGTTCGGGTCAAAATTTGGTCGAACCCGATGGACCCGAAAAAAAACGGATCAAATTTTGGGTCAACCCGTTGGTGACCTGATATGACCCGATAACCCGTTTACGAATTAAAAATAATTTAATTAACAGAAAAATTATTTTTTTCTACTAAACTAAGTTATTCTTTTTTTCCAAAGGCATTAATCACTTAATCTTAAATGAATTTATTTAACTTGTGTGAAGTTGAAATTATTATATTTGGATAAATAATGTATTATATTATTTTTACTTTTATACTGTTTTAATTTATTTTATATTTGATTTGGGATAAAATACTTTTATGGTGTTTTAATTTATTTTAGATTTGGTTTGGGATTATTTAATTAAATTTTTATTACTTGATTATGTAATTAGTCTTGCACAAAATTGATTATATTAGAAATTACAATGGTAAATTAATAAATTAAAATTAAGTTTCGGGTCATTTCGGGTTGACCCGCGCAACCCGAAATTTTCGGGTTCGGATCAACAGATTTTCTGTTATATCCGACTCTCAACTCGACCCGCCAATCCGTTTTGCCACCCTAATAATTTGCAGCACCCCAAAAGCTCTCAGTTGCTGCATTTCTCTCTCCTTTAAGGCTTTAACCTCAAAAGCTTGTAAATAGTGCTCCTCTCTTTATCGATGTGAGCTCTCTTTTGTTCGTCTCCGAAACATGATGATTAGTGTTGGCAATCCAGAAATACATTAATTAAGCAATGGATGATTAAATAGGAAGGAACAAAAACATCAAGGCAATTCGATAGCGTCTTTGAAGAGATTACATAAATAGCGGTTTATGGCCAAGCTTCTCTAGAATTACCAAAAAGAAGCCTTTGTTTTTTTGACTCTTCTTCTACTAATAATAATTATGGTTAGGGTGATCAGAAGAAAGATCTCCCCCCTCAGGCTGCTGAGATGGCCTAATTTGATCTTGTACAAGGCAAATTGGCTTCTTCTTCTTCACTGTAACAGGATATCAAAATCCTCGATGAAAGTAACTAACGACATACATTATTGTTTCATAGGAGACGACGGAGCTTCATGCTGCCAATGCCATCCATATGACTCCTGGTTAGAAACAAAATGAAATGGACTCATTTGGCAGACCCCTCGACGTCAAGGTCCTCTCCAGTCAACCTACAAATCCTCTTGTCCTGATAAACTTTTGTGCCGATTCGCTCGTAAAATTGAATAGCATTCACATTCCAATCCAGCACCACCCATTCAACCATCCCGTAACCCATCTTCACCGCCTGCCCCGCCACCGCCGTTATCAGCATTTTCCCGAATCCATGCTTCCTATAAGGCTCCCTCACGAACAAATCCTCTATGCGAAACCCGGGTTTCGCCAGATACGTCGAGTACTTTGGGAAGAACAGCACGAATCCTGCCACGACGACGTCGCCTCCGATTTCGGACCGGAAAATTTCCTTCTCGAGTCTTCACTCGCGAGGTCCAGATGCAAAGTTTTGAGCAACGGGGAAGAGTTAGTCGTGTCCTCCTGAGGAGCAGGTGGTGGGAAGGGGTCAGGGGAGACTTCGAGGATGAAAACGTTGAAGGAAGTGAAGGGCAGAGGTGGTTCGGGGAAGGGAAGAGAGTGGCGGCGAGAGAGGCTTCGGTGGCGGTGCACTGGTGGGCGAGGCGTTCGAAGGTTGCGAGCTGGTGGATGAGCTTATGGATGTGGGGACGTCTAAAATGGTGGCTAAACGGATGCGGGCATACAATGGGTGCCGGAATGGGGCGGTTTCAGGGACCGTATTTTCGGGTATTGTGGCCAGGAATGGCGGCGGTGGCGGCTGCGGAGCTGCTGCTGCCATGCTTTTTTTTTTTGGCTTTTTGTTGTTTGGAAGTGGTGGTAAAATAAATCAGATTAAAGAAGCGTGGTTGGGAAGTTGCCCTTTAGACTTTAAACAATTACCTAATAATCCCCTTCCAAAGTTTTTGCATGATTGGATTGGAGTATTTTATACAATAATGGTAATAATACAACCAAATCAACTTGCTTCCAATTTCAAGCTCGGAATGAAGAAAACAAGTAGGACTAATCTGTTGCATTCAAACTTCGTTGCAGCAGCCAGAGTGACCTTCGGGACAATTTCGAAGAGATATGATTCAAGTTTTGAGAGCAGCCACATCTGAACTTTACTACTACGTACTTCATTAGCATTTGGCAGCAGCATTGAATGGACTGTTTTGACAGGTGAGTATGAAGTTTTGGAACGTTGAACCCTTTTAAATCAAACCAAGATGTATTTTGTTTTAAGCAAAGTAAATTAAATCACCTCAAAGTCATATTCTATTATTGTTGTCTCGTCTATATTCAGTAGTTCTTGGAAAGAATTGCCACACACTAACTAACAGCGACGCATGTCAAAGTCGTCATTGTCTGGTCTATATTTAGTCGTTTAACACGCAGTGGGTTAGCACATAATCAATCCAGTGTTTAGGCCTTTGAGCTTGGAAGATTAAAAAGTAATCCCAACCTTTACTAATAATCCCCACAAAGTGGAGACAACGACTGGATTTCTTGTGCTACATCATTAGTTTCAGAATTTCAAAACTCAATAATGGTTTGGTTACTTTCCTCAAAATCTAAGCAAAAGTTCAAAAAACAAAGAAAGAAATTGATGGTTGCATTTTGTGGATCAGGAATTGGTTCTTCGTAGTGGTTTGGTTAAAATGTGCAGAAAAATGTTGGTCTGTTGCGTAAGACTTGCGGACGAGAATAGAGACGTCAAAGTTGCAGATTTGTTGACGTTTAGTAGTTGCATTTCGTTGAAAAGAAGGAGGGAAAGGGAATATTCCTGCTTTGGTCCGATGCCAAAAAGCAAATTGGCTTCTTCATCTTCTTTGCTTCTTTATTCTTTTTGTTAACTAAAATGTTCGCTGATTCTTGAAGAAGCCAGTAACTCTGGAATCCATATTCCATAGTTTTTTTTTTTTTTCCTGGTCTTAGTGTCTGATGTCGCCTATCACATTTTGCAGAGAAGTTGCGTTTAATATCTAATCCTTACTGGCGTTGTACAGTGAAGTGGTTTTGAGTTTAAAGAGTTTCTGTAGAAGTTAAAAACAGTAATTTGGTATCCGCTAATATTCTTTCGGCATATAGAATTAGACCCAACTTTGAAACTTACATGCCACTATTTTCATTTCTTATATTTCATTTTCCTTAATTTGTGCAAGGAAAAAAAAAAAAAAATAAAAGAGGAAAATAGTGTAAGGGTTTGGTAGCTTAGGTTTCTTATTTTCTTCAAACATTTTATATTCAAAGTATAAAAAAAAAAACATAATTCAATTAATCAATATTCTACGCTCATTACTCCTATTATTAGATTATGCTCGTGTGTTGTATATATTATTTATTTAAATTAATTAATTTAAATGGGAGACAGCGCGAGGTAGGACGAGAGCATCCATCCTGTCTTGCCCCATTTAAAGTGGAAAAGAAAAGTTTTTCATCCTCTCCGTGGATAGTACCCATCTCCATTGTCATTTCTAAGATTTTATAACTCTCCATGGATTGGTACCCATCTCCATCGTCATCCTAAGATTAATCAAGAAATCGGATTTAATTGGTTTTTTGAATAACACCAGCCTAACATGTAAGAGACTAGAGAGTTTAAAGAAGCTGCGAACATGATTGGGATTCTTCTTCCTCAGACATATAAGCACAACTTTGGACATTATGCAGTATCCATGCAGCAATTTATCGTTCTACACTCAATTATATAATTTTCTGTCGGCCAGCAAGGACAAGCCTTCCTCTCATGGTTCATCTGTTTTTCCAATCAATTCTCGCTCCCAAATCGGGAGATCACACGTGGCTATAGTGTTTATAAGCTGCTAAGATCAAATCCTGAGACACTAGCGGTTGCTCGGAACACCTCCTACGAGGTACAAAGTTGGTGTTAAAAATATGCGCTTATCCTTGTCAGTTGGGATGACGGTGGGTTGGTATCATGGTTCACCGTGGTCGCGGTCTCGATTGTTTCATGTCCGTCACGACATATCGATTGAATATCATGTGATACAAACATTATAACACATTAAAGTTTCCAAAATTTTTGAAAAAATTACTAAAATTAAAAATACTAAAAAAGACATAATTTAAAAAAATATCGGAGTCGACTCCGAGTTGACTCGAATATATCTGCCGATATCATGCATCACGGATTCGAATCAGTCAATATCGACCGAGTCAGAACGAGTCATCGCGGATATGATATTATCATATCCGCAATTCGAAGATCGGTACCGTACCGATCCCTTCCGTTCCAGTTATGATTCGGCCGGCGAACCATGATTGGTATGTTGCCGTGGATTTCCCAACATCACTGGCATGGAAGTAAAAGTCCCCACTCAGCAGCTTTTACTGGAAGACAACAGGGACCGTTTAGTTGGCCAAGGAAGAACTTGACTAAGCAGAAACATTCTGGACATTCACTAAAGCATCCAAAAAAATGATCGATCATTAATGATTAGTCGAGACGAGCCTACTTTAATTTGGAGCCTACAGTTTCCTTGTGCGACTAAAACCAGTGCACAAAACAAAAGACAGGTGTCATGAAATAAAATAAGCAAGAACATGCATCCACTATCCATGAAATATCAAATCTATGCTTCTTTTTTTGAGACGAGACGAATATCACTACCAGAGCAATCATTCTAAGCTAAAGCAATGTACATTTCAAAGAGTCTACCCCACCCTACTCCAAAAAGCCGAATGACCAGAGCATTCCCGTTTTACATGCTTCTTGAGGTCTATTTTTTGACCCAAGAATCCACCAACCCCGATCTGATATGTTACAAAAACTAACCTATTTGGTTAGTTGACATAATGGCCAGTTTTCCGTCTATGCCGACTGAAGTCTGATACAAACCTGAAACTAAGGCCACACCCATCAACCTTGCACTTGTATGGTCTCTCCCCGGTGTGGACTCGTATGTGTTCAGTCCTTGCCCAAGCCCACTTAAATGTCATTCTGCACCCCTTCCACGGACATTTTAGTGGCCTATCATCATCATGAACCCGCTGGTGAGATGTTGCATATTTGTGGGAGCTGAACCTTTTCCCACACCCTTGTACTGGACAGCGATCACGCATGTGTAGGACTAGCTCTGCCTTGGTCTGGAAGCTCATTCGGCAGCCTTCTATGCTGCACTTGTGAGAGCATCTCTTTTGCTCTCTCTTGTGCTTGTGCAGATCCGAACCATTTAAATGCTTGTTCACCTTCCTTCCTTTGCTTAAATCCTCAAAGGGCTTTTCGGCACCAGTCGTGTCTCCTGCAGCATCTCTTTTGGTCCTTGGCCTTAGACCTTCACAAGGACTTCTACTGAAGCTGCCAAAATTTGGTTGATCTTCATTTTGGATATCCACTTCTCTTTTTCTTTTGCTTCTCATTTTTTCAGTATGTTGGAATTGTTCTAGGGTAGAAATTGCATCATCCACCTCCTTGTTCTCAAATAAGGTGCAACTCTGATTGTCACGTTGCTGTTGATCATCAGCAGGCATCTCTCGAGGTGCTTCAAGTTCTTCCGTCAAGGAAGGGTTAGATGTATTCGATGTCAGAACATCACTTGAAACAGCTCTTTCCCGATCAGCTCCCTTCATTGAGGAGATTTCTTTCTCCATTTCGCCACTGCTCATTTGACATTTATCTAGAACTGTTGTCTCAACTTGTTGATTGCACCTTTCCCCAGAAGATTCATCAGCATGAGGACATGACGGGGCAGGTTCAGAGGCCTCTTCATGAGAACATCCCCATCAGCATTTCTGTGATACTTCCTTTCAGATTCATTTGTTGTTACGACATCACATGTCATCTTTGCCATGTTGATTCGACAGACAATTTCATCCTCCCTCATCACTTCAGAACTTTCAGTATCATAAACAGAAATGCCAAGTGAACCTGCAGAATTTTCAGAATTTACTGAGTCATGGTTTTCGTCAGTTTCCTCGGCAACATTGATCATGGACAATTTGTGGGAGTCCTTCAAAAGTAAATCGTAGTTTTTATTCAGCTCGACAAGTTCGTCTGACATACCACTTCCAGTATGAACATTTATATTCCCAGCCACTGGGTTAGTAGCAATAGAAGAATCTACAAGTTTCAAAAGAATTTTCGTTCAGACCTCCACCTGATACAACTTTTTGACCTTCATTCCGCAACTTAGACTTCCTACTGTAGGCCAAACAAGTTGGCCCTGAAGCGCCCTTCCCTGCACCTTCAACTCTAACATGAGTATTCATAGACATGTCTCTCTCCTTTTCCTTGCAATTTCCACTGTCAGCACCTGAAATTTCATCAGAAGGATGTTTCTCAGAAACCACCAAGGCCTTAATGGCTCCCTCAGAACCACGAGGCTTCGACTTGTGTCTTTTCCTATAATATTGGATCATTACTTGACCTAGTTTCCTACTCATTCTGCTTCCCGACTTTTCTACCGGTTCTTCAACTTTCTCAGTCTGGATGCTCACAGATGGCTTGCTAAAGTTTGTAGGATCTGCATTCCTTTTTGAACGTGATTTCCTGGATTGCCACTTCAAAGCCTTTAAGTGAAGAACTCCATCAGAAAACAACCCACCTAAAGCCAATGCATGCTTCACTTTCTGGGATGGGAAGTTCTTTCTCATCTTTACACAGTGGCGTAAGTTGAGATTCAATTTTGAGGTCCAATCTTGTGCACCTTCATCTTTTTCTTGATTTTCAATTGCATGATCAATCAGGTACAGGTCTTCCTGGGATGCATTTCCTAATGGAATCTCGTTGTAGTTAAAAGGGATGCTAATTTCCTCCGCTACAACTGCACTGTGTGCTTTTATTTTCTGGAAGTCTACAAATATTGAAAACCGAGGACCACTTTATCCAATTCATAAGCGACATTCACATGCAAAAGAAGGATAATGAAGTACAATCCAGTCATTTCTTCGTCAAGTGGAGAAGGGAGAAGAGCAAAATCTTTCATTAGGGTGACAACATAAATTTAGCATGGTTGAAAAGACAGGAGCGATCCACTTCATGCATTTTTATCTAATAATGAACTGAAATTCATCAATCTATTGTTACCTGAATGGCATATTCCAAGCACATTTGCACCACCTTTGGGCGCAATAGCTCCACGGTTTCAATTGCGTGCTCCAGGCAGAACAATTGAGGTCTGAAATAGCCAGTTGAAAGGTTCCACCCCCGTCAAACTTGACTGCTGAAGAAGCCGTTACGTGCACTGGAAATGATGAAGTATTAATGTCTACAGACAGGGCATCCTCCTCCATATGAGAACAAGTGGATGGGCTTGATTCAGCAAAAGGAGATGCTTCATCTGGATGGTTAATATTCTTCTTAACTGGCTTTCTTGTCTCTGTTGCATTTTAAGACCCACTGTCAGCATTAATGACCTTTCATGTTGTTCAATTCTAATGCATCGACTGTTCCAAGGTTCGGCACCTTGGTTCATGTATCTACAGTATCTTAGCAAGATAAAATTTAATGCACCAGCATAGAAGTAAACTGATAGATTTAAATCTGAACAAGAAGCTGTCCAGTATGATATATTCCCATTAATACATCAAACTGAGAGGTAAATACAAAGCATATACACAAATCAGCCATTACAAACAGAAAGTAGCAGCAAACCAGCTATTCAGGACGTATAACTCAAAATATGGACTTAAAATTTGTACTTTGCAGCATATAATATAATATAATGTACTTTGCAGAATGTTCCGTGATAACTAATAATAAGACAGAAAGATCTAAAGTCAACCAAAGTGCAGGCCATGATGAAAATCCTAAAAGAAGTTCTCCACATGTGAAAAGACACTGGAATTCACTGGGAGAACTTACGTAGGCAGCTTCATGATAGTAAGCCACATACCAAATAACTTAACTTGTTACAAAGTGCTTGTAATGGTAATGTCATAATAAGACCATGCAAAAGAGCTGCACAATCAGATCAAGGTGAAAAGGAATGGAGAATTCAAAACACTCCATATTATACTCAGAACATGCAATAGACAATAAAGGCAAGTATTTCACTTAGTATCGCAACTTACCAACCTACTCTGTAAACCACCTACTACATATGACACTGAAAGAATGACTCCAAAAGTAAGAGAAAAAACATAAGACAAAAATGAATTTCATGGTTTGACAAAGAAGCATACATGTAAAAAATCACATATAAGGTTGTCTTGTGAGCCTTATACCTGGAATACAGCTTTCAGCCCTAAAATCAAGATCCAAGGATTTACAACCCGCTGGTTGACAAACTCCTAATTGTTGAGTCATAGCCTGATCCTCAGGCAGCAGGTCTCTCGATGCTTGCTCGATGGTTGTACCACAGCCATAAAAGGAAAACCAAGAATACCACAGGCAACACAGGGTAAAGTTCCAGAATCAACTTGATAATCATTTTGTATGTCATCAGCATCATCTACATAAAAATCAGTAATAGTGTCCATATACAAGCTCATCTGCGTGTAAAGATCTTGGTTACTGCAGTTGTCAGGATGACTGTCTTCTCTTCTTTGTGTCCCATCAGTTACAACAGTACTGCACAATTCAGAGTCCTTACTTGAAGCTGGCAGCAAATCCACATCCCATAGTACCACACGATAAGATGAATTTTTCTGAAGAAGAATAGTTAGCAGATGGTTTTCCTTTAAAATATCTTCTATGAATGCTTTCTTTACCGAGAGCTCGCGTTCTTCCTTCTGACGATCTTTGAGACGAGAGCTTCGTGCTCCTGGTAGTAGGGATCTTGGCACTCTGTCATTCAAAATAGATCCACTACGTCAAACTTATGATTACAGGTCGCTAACCAATTCATATGGTATCCCTGTCGGCAATAAGAAAAAGAACCTATAATGCACAGAAGTAAATGAAAATGTGGAAGTTGAAATATTTGAACAACCAAGCCTCAAGCAAGGCTGAAAGCTGGAAATGCCCATAAAACTGAATAAGATGAACAACTTACAAGTAGATTAAGAAAGTTATGTGGACATTTTAAATAAGAGGACAAAATCTGACCTTGATACAAAAGACATTGTCAACAGGTATAGCAGCTGCTGATGAGAAAGCATGGGCAAGTAATTCATCGCGGCTCTGCGAACAGCGGCTTCTTTGGCTATTGTAAGCCACTTAGGAGTACTGAAGTTTGCAGCTTCTCCACAATTAAAACCTATAACCAGAAATGAACATACACTGTCATAATAATGAATAAAAGGCCACCATAAATATATAGAACAGCAAGGATTTTTATGGAATTTACAAATAGTGACAGAACAATATTTGAAAAGATTAATGGTTAAACACTGTGTACCATCTTGCAACCCCTGATTATACCACAATTTTTCATGCCACAATCTCTAACAATCTTTGCATGTGAAATATTCAAAATATTCAAACTGTGAACATTAGGTGCTAATTGATTGACACAACTAATAGTACCACTGTCCATAACCCCATTGGATATATTATTCTACAATGTCCTAAACCACTTCCTGATTACATCTGGGAAAAAAAAAAGAAATGGAAAATTGAAAAGAAAACAATAATATCTGTTTCACATATATCTAAGACACTTGCAACAGACATTGCAACCAAAGATCTGGTGACTGAAAAATAGTATGGCCAACAAGTGTGAATATGGTAGAAGCAAAAATTGCAGCTCTCCCCGACCATGTCAAGGTTTAACGTACACTTGCTACTAGAAAAACAATTTTCTGACAAAGGTAACATATTGTAGTCTACAGATGATTATAAAAGTAAATCTCATGGAAGTTTGCAAGCAGTTAAATCACTATGCATAAGAGCCCAGAACTCCAGCTTGAATAACATTTGGTCTAAGTTGTCAAAGGTGGAAAATTGGTAATGCATAGTAAAACAATAAACTAAAGAAACATTATACATAATTTGAACAGGAATACTCTTATAAGGAGAGAAATTTACCGTGGCTGAATCCTACATGGTAAGCCCTTGGGAAAGTCACAACAAACTCACCAGGATTCTGAACTAGCCTAGCAAAGATGACAAGACCAGTAATTAGCTATTAGTGGCTGGAATCATCCACTATCATACTTGTAGCTCAGAACTCCAATAAATCAGTATGAGTTCCTGTCAAGCCTCATTATGCAAGAGTTTATAGGAATAAAGAGATTAAATGAAACTGAATATGGTTCTAGAGAAAACAACCCACCTACAACATGGGATGCCTGCTGCAACAATAACTTCTGGTGAAAAAAGAGTAGTCTTCTCACCCAGGAGAGTCAGTGCATCTAAAAATTTACAAACAACTGAACTTAAACAGGGAAAATACACAAAAGCAGGAAATCTTAAAGAATCAATGTAAGACTTTATGGTGCCAGTTGAAGCAAAAGAAACTCCATGACCAATGCAGTTGACAAAACCAAGCTTTTGCTAAAACATTCTCTAACCTCCAATCATGAAATCAAACTTCTCTCTTTGAACTCAGAATGATCACTCAAAAAAAAAAAAAACTAAGGAGATGATGCAATTTTTATCTCAGCTCCAATTTTTCATCCAGAAATAGGCTGACAGCTAAAGCATATTTCAAGAGACGTCCACAAATAGAACAAGATAGAGTAAGTGCACTTCAGACAGTGATTCTTCCATCTTCATGGAGAAAAAACAGCATAGAAAATGCAACTATTTTAGCTGGATATTTTACCAGCAATGCAAAGTGCACTCCAGAGCTGTGGTTATTTACATTTTCGTACAAATTTCTCTGAGCACCAAAAAACATTTGATAAAACTGAAAGAATATCAATTTTGGCACTTTTCCTTCATATAAATCTGAAACTGAAAGCACAAACATACCTAAAGGGTCAGTATTTCCCCCATAAGCTTGAAGGCGAACGACCTCTTCAAAATCAAATGCATAATCTCCTGGAACTGAATACCATGTCTTTGGGGAGCCCGTATGAAGGAAATTTAAGCTATGAAGTTCATGATCTTCAACATGCCAAGCAAACCAGCTGAATAACATTCCAATGTAAACCATTGGAGAAGTAACACCAGGTATATCATCTGGCATGTAGCGTGTCAGTGACCCAGGAGATCTTGCAATTACTTGCAAATTCCAAGAACTGTTTGATAGCTTCCAACCTGCTGTTCCATGCATCTCATTACTAGCATTTGAAAACTTTCCATCAGAAAAATTTTCAGACTGGTCCAATGACATGGATGGTAGCGATGTAGATGCTCCAGAAACCTCTGAATGCAAGTTAGATGCCTGTGCATCCTTATCCACACTACTATAATTCACAGTACTGCTACAGTTAGTTACATGGTCATTGTTACAGGAACTACCTTGGTTATTTCTATCGAAAGTCCCCCTTTTCCGCCTCCGCCTCCTTCGCCTATTAAAATATCGAAATGATCCCTCTGGTTCTCCAAATCCAGAGCCAGGCACGTCATTCGCATACTCCACATATATGGGCTTCTCTGAAGCAGCTTTCCAAAACATTGCTTCTATAACTAATGGGGAAACCTCTTTAACCACCCCTAGTTGACTCTTAGCAAAATTCTTTGACTTCGCTTCAAACTGTTCCAATGTATAAACTTCCCCACTTTGCCATACTTGCTTTGGAGCTCCTATCAACTGATTCCCAGCTGCTCCCTTCACCCTCTTCCCATTCTGACCTAATTCCTGATGCCTAGTTGTAAAAACTGCCCGAGCCTCAGAACCATTACTCCCTTCAGCCCCATCATTCATGTTCATTGAAGAACTGACATTTACCTCCGAACCCAATTCTGGACACTTGGAAAGTGACTTATTCAAGTTATAAAGAACGTATCTTTTTGAAGGCTTAGGCACTGGTGGAATCACTTTACATATACCAAAGGCACTTGCTTTTTTCTCAATCTTTGATATATAAGCTATTGGGTCTGCAAATTCAGTATCTGTTGGCCGGAATTCTGGTGCCAAAGGCAACTCTTCAAGCCATTTTGGTATTTCCACAGCCCCCATTCGATCCACAATATTCAAAACCATAACCACATCTAAGTTCAATGCATCCAACGCTCGACCACAACAATTTACGTAATGTAATTAAACGTCATATCTAATCAGCACCCAATAATACATTATCAATCAATACATGAAAAACCCTCAATTGAAGGGATAATTCCTGGGTTTTTGACCTAATTGATACTTCACCAACTTTTTATAGCAAGAAAAGGCCAAGGAATTGAAATTTTGAAATATAATATGAAAAACCAGGAATTCAAGAAAAATGGTAATTATGAAGTATAGAACCTGGAAATGCAAATTTGTGGTGAAGGAGGAGCTGCCAAGAATAGAGCTGGAGTTGTACCTGTGAATCTCTATCTAGGTTTTGAGCAATAAATCTGAGGAATTTTTATCTGTGAGGTGCGTAGGATAGTATATTTGCACGTAATTTTATTAGCGTGTGCTGCGGTGCACACTGCACCACTGAATACACTGTTGCTTATCCGTACGATTAAGGGGTTGGACCCCAGCGGGCGTGGCGTTCCGGACTTTGGTGCATCGTGTTCTAACCGCCCAATTTTTGAGACAGCGCCAACAGGTTTGCTGACGTGGATAACCAACATGGGGTTGAAAAGACTAATTTGCCCCAGGTTTGGATTGATATTTGATGCCAATAATCATTAATTAGACTCATAATTATAGAATAAAGACACCACTCGAGTTTTGGCCTGTGGTCAGGAGATAATTATAGAATAAAGAAACCACTTTGGTTGGCCTGTGGTCTACTGTCAGATTCGGAATTTGAATTCTACACCTGACAATTAGGTGTAGAGAGAGATGATAGAGTACATAAAAATTATAGATTAAAAAACTTCTTTCATTGATGGATTAGAGGAAAGAAATCCAATTCGATTGTTTTGTCTTAATAGGCCTAAGAATAAACGGACATAATAACGTGAAGGGGAAAAAAATTAATTGAGAAAAGAAATCCATCCATAAGTTCTTGGTCGAGCAGAAAAAAATGAAATGGAAGTAGAATATCAAGAATTCTTGAAATTCATGTGTGGCTTGATGATTCCACTTACAGTTTCTTAAAGTTGATCAAAGCATAAACTCCAAAATTTGTGACTAAGCCATTGAAATCTAGACTGGGGAGGCGCAAGGATAATGTACATTCTGTAAGCAGGTCAACTTGAAGCTTCTTCCAAGATTAAGAGATTTGGCAGAAATTTTGTGCATGAACAGATATGTTAAGTAAGAATAATATTGAGCATCTAAAGCTTTCTGCAGATATCATATGTTCATTCTGGTTCTATAATTAAATGTATACAGTTACCTCGAACAACTCCAACAACTCTTGTACAATTTCTACGACTGAATGTTTCATGGATTTATGTCAAGTCGTAGGGCAACAAATTAGAAAAAAAATGGTTTCTGAATGGGGCTTTGTTTAATGTATTTGAAGCTTTGTAGTTTTGTTTTGGCAAATTCTGCAATCTACCTTTTTTGTACAAATATAAATGATGTAGTTAGACTGCACAAGTGAAAAATATTGCTCGCGTAAAATGATTCTTTTTTTTTTCTACTAATTTAAAGTTCGAGATTTACATAAAAAAAAAAAAGTAGTGAATAAATGCCTTGCTCTTTAAACATGAGAATGGAAGGGGTTAGCCATCTCCTTCTAGCTTAGAAAGTGCAATTTTTGAAAGCGTTAATAACAAGAACTAGCTATAAAGGTTTGAGTTTTGTTAATACTTATTATAAGACTGGATTTCATGGAGCATGATTTTTTTTTTCTTTTTTGCGGTTAAATTCGTATTCGTTGATACGTCTCATTGCATCTCCAATAGGAAGACAGTAATTTTCCTCTTGTTTTTTCTCCCCTTGCGATGGTTTAATACTGGAACGTAGGCCTAACTCTAAACTAAAAGAGATGAAAACTACAATTAGTCGAGTATTATTGCAAAATAGCCATTTGAATTATTTTCAATCAATATCAGCATCAGACAAACTTTAGACCTCGACATGCTTCCGCACAGAAATAATTAAGAGCTTCTTAAAATATTCAAATCACTTAAGCGTCTAAATTAGATATTAGGGTGTCTATCGTTTAAAAATGTGGTGATCTGTCGCTCTGTATAGATGGACTCATATGCATAATTGAATCATAGAACAACATAAAATGATCCTCTATGCTGTACACCATTTGAATACAAAACAAAGGAAGCATGGCCCCTGCTGATTCTCAAACATCTTAATTAAGCATTCTAAAAGGACAAAAAAAAAAAAAGATAAACCTAAATTTTTTGTGGAATTCTTGGAGACATCCCAGAAGTTGCACGAAGCGCGACCCTAAAATTAAGGTCTGAACATGATTTTCCTTTCCCACAGAGAAAGGATGTGGTTTGAATTCCCATCTTCTTCAGAAGTGTCCCCCACCATCTCCATTTACTTGATCACAATATTGCTTGCAGGCCTGGGAACAACCATTCTCCGAGGCACCGTCAACCTGCATGCAGGTGGGCATGCACCCTTTAGCACAATCCGATAATGCTCCAATCATGTTGACCCAAAGCATCAAAACCAAAGCACACACCAAAAGGGCTGTCAAACTCACTTTCTTCACAGCCATTTTCTTGTTCTAGTACCTTTATGTTGATACTTGATAGTTAAGTCCCTTTGGTACTAGTATGAATGTGGATATTTAAAAGGGCAGTATTACCTTTCCTGTCACTATTTATAGGATTAATTTAACATGGTATGTGGAAGAAAGTTTTTGTGATTTCTTTTTGGAACGGTTAGGAGGATTTTATGAAGAAAATTGAGGGTAGACGCTTGTCATCATTTAGAACAGAAGCTTAATTTAATGGTTCTTGGAGGCTTGAAGCTTCTCAATGTTTACCTACCATTCTTTTAATAGCAAAGATTTGTTGGTGATGTAATGGACCAATTAATGACTATAATTAGAATGTTCTTCTGATTGGCTTTTTCAGTTTTGATGTGCTAGTGGTTATCAGAAGAAGGGGTTCAGGATCCAAGGTAATCACGTCGTGTACTTGTCTTTTTTTGTCCAAACTCTTCTCGTATTTGGTAATATTTGTCTTATGTTCCATGGTCACTAGCTTTATCTCATGATTTTATTTGTTGTATTATTCTTTTTAACAATTACAAAGAGTTTTTTTTTTAATGACCATCCAACAAGAAGCATATCTCTAAAATGAAAACCAAAAAACAAAAAAAGAGATGGTAGCGATTGGTGTCATGCCTTTCTGTCAATCCGGATTCAAATCTCTCCTGAAACATCTGGATTCGAATCTCTCCTGCTGCCGTTGTATAGGACTTGCCTAATGTGTCTTACCTTTCCGTGTGGTTGGTAGGGTATTACCCATTACGCATTCTCGGGTAACGGCTGCGAGTTCTCTTGTCAATAGAGAGAGAGAGAAATTTATACACCTAAGCACAATTTATGGACCACTCTTCAACTCTTGAAGGCGCTGATTAAGAAACTGATTGTATTCTCAGTTTCTCATTCGTTCGTCATCTTTTAAAGGTGCAAAATTCATAGCACCCCTAATGAACACAATGCAGTTTTCTCTTTTACCTTTTGGCAATGATTCACCTGTTAATTGGTCAGCTTTGAGGCATAGCTACTAGAGCCAAGAGTTAAGCATGTGCTGATTATCAAAGTTCCAGCGAGAAATGCAATCAGAGCATATAACGCTTCCTACAAGAGGTGCTTTGATTTGTGGAAAAAGTAATCTAGTGCTACAAAAACAATAATTGTGCGTTCGTAGTCACAAGTATTTCGATGCAGAACTAGTCAAGAAAGGATTTCGATGGACATCTTGAGCAGTTTTTATGAGCTTAGGTAATACTTAAAACGGCTTCTGGTGAGCGTAATTGCAGGTTACGTTCTTGTATTTTCAGTGAATTTGTTTCCTCATGGCTGACAGATACATAAGCAGGTTTTTTGAAGTTGGCATTTCTGAAATTGTTAGGAGGAGACAAATAAAAATTAAAAAGAAGAAGAAGAAGAAGAAAAGATGAGTATCTGAGGTTCAGATCATGAGTAAACGACCTAAATCTGAATTGAGGAGCATTATTTTCCTATGCCAGACAGGGTAGATTGCTTACTTGCACATTGGAAAGCTTCTTCTCAACAAGTAGTTTACATATATTGCAGGCTTCATGAAGTACGATCATCAAGTCGAGAAAGATATTAAGCAGGGAAAAAAACGTTTCCAGCAAACTCTTAATCTCTCAGAAACAGAAACGTATCCAGCAAACTCTCCAGTCTCCACCTAGCACTAGCAGCTTATTTGTAGATCATTATATAGCTAGAAAACTATTGCGCCTGCTTGATTATGCCGGAATGTATTTGACCTAGGAAAGGAATAAGATTTCCTCATCTCTTTCTTCTCGGAAACGGGTGCACTCATCCTAATATCTGTAAGTTTTAACAGGAGAGAAGCGACTTTGCTATTCTGGTGACATTTTCTTCTGTAAAGCCATACTTCTTGAATGCATCCAAATATGCGCCACTAGCCCCAAACTCTTCCACACCAAGCACGCTGCCCTTTTCCCCAACATATTCCCTCCAGCCTAATGGCGAGCCTGCCTCGACACTCAAACGTTTTGAAACTCCTGATGGCAGCACATCCTCCTTGTATTCCTGTGGTTGCCTATCAAACAGTCTCCAGCACACTAATGAAACCACCCTCACTCTCCTCCCCTCCTTCCTCAGCAAATTGGCACTTGCTTCACAGAGACATAGCTCTGATCCAGTACTAATTAGTATGATTTCTGGTAATTCCTCACCACAGTTGTCACTTACAATGTACCCTCCTCTTTCTACGGCATCTGAGGATGTTCCCTCCACGTTAGCTGCCAACTTTTGTCTTGATAATGCAATAACACTAGGCACATCTCTGTTTGCAACAGCTACCTTATAAGCTCCAGCAGTCTCATTGCCATCAGCAGGTCGAAAAACCAATAGGCGAGGAATTGCTCTTAGGCCAGCAAGCTGCTCCACGGGTTGGTGTGTTGGTCCATCCTCTCCTAAGCCAATTGAATCATGAGTCATAATGTAGGTAACTGCAGCATGACTGAGAGCTGAGAGTCGGATGGAATTTTTCATGTAGTCGGAGAAAATAAGGAAAGTTGCAGCAAATGGTATTAAACCACCTCCATGCAGCGCAATACCATTTGAAATTCCACCCATTGCATGTTCTCGTACTCCATACCTAATATTCCTTCCCTTGTAATTTTGCCTTTGGAAATCTCCGCAGTCATGAAGATAGGCTTTATTAGAGCTGGCAAGATCTGCACTTCCACCAATTAGACCTGGTAGCACTTTAGCAAGTTGGTTTAAACATTTCTCCGAATACCCTCGAGTTGCATCCACTGGGTCAGTTATTGACCATTGCTGTTCAGTAAGAGAATCAGAGATCAGTTTGGTAATATTCTGAGTAATAAGCAGATATCATAGTATTGTTGGGAAGACTAAAGACACAAGAAGACAATGCCTTAAACCCATCTGTAATAAGATGCAAACTAGATGACTTCATGCTGTCATTTAGGCCAAAAGAATACCATTCACATGCTGACTGCTCAGATTCATCAAAAGGATCGATGGTCCGAAATTTAACGAGTTAAAGATGCAGAAGCAACTGAAATCAGGTCCAATAAGGAAAAACGTGGTCTTTATAACTGAATTTGGCTGCAGCAAGGTGGGTGCAACACCTGCAGAAACAAGAGTTGATCTCCATCTTTTACAGAAGAACAACGGAGGGGAGTAAATTTGATGCCGTCGTCACCTAGATATATAAAGGCCTCTGAATCTACACTGCAAAATGTCAACCTCCAAATTCTCCTAGACAATAGGTTTAGAAGTTCCGCCAAACTAAGTTCTAATCCTTTGTGTGTGTGTGGAGGTAGAGGGTGAAATTGAATGCAAGGTATACCCCAACTTTTCCATGAATCTTAAATGCTGCTGCCTAGATTGGTTCATCCTTCATTTAATGTTTTTAAGTACTTGGAGTTGCTGAGACTTGATTGATTCACATTTCGTGAGAAAAGAATGTTTTAATAGACGTAAGCAAAAATGACAAATTACACTCTAAGAAGGAATGTCATGATATTCACCGGTAAGACTCTCCCAGCCTGGAACTAGTCCACCATGAAGGAGAGCATTAAATTCTGCCGCTTCCTCCGGATATGCAGTTTGGTAATAATGCAGCTTGGATGTCCACATCGCCTCCAACTTTTCTCCCTGATCCGCCTGAATTTGCATTTCCCTAAAGAAGATTATATAAAGAGCTGCTTCATTCTTTTCGCTTCTTATAAAATTGAACTGGTAAAACTCCTGTTCCACTGAGTCATTACCTATAGATCATAGGAATCACATGGAACGGCTGCTGATTCTCCCATTTGACCTTTTGTTTCATTTGTTTTACATCATCTTCATCAAAGGTACCATGATGAGCTTTCGAAGTTCCTTCCTTCTTCGACAATTTCCCAATAGTAGTCTTGACCTGAAAAACATGAAAATTTTCATACTTCAGCAATCTTGTAATTGAGGACAAATGTGACCAGGTTTAAGCGTTTGATGTTTCCTTCAATCACAAGACTTGTATCTACAGAAAGGTCTGGGAAGCAAGCTGTTTGCTTGTACTGAGCGAATCCCCACATACCCTGATGAAAGTCGGTTCTCAGTCTCACCATAAGCAGAGAGAAGTGCATTCTCAAACAATTTCAGTTCTCCATTCCTGAGATCCACTGTAATTGTTTTCCATCCTAGAGCCTGAAATCGAGCTGATATGTCTTCAGAAAATGCAAGGTCTGTAGAACCATCAATAGTATTGTGGTTGTCATCATAGATTAGTGTAAGCTTATTAAGTTTCCAGTGTGCAGCCAACGATGCAGCTTCATGTGATATGCCTTCCATAGCACAGCCATCCCCCATAATGCAATAGCTAAATTAACAATCAGCAGGTCAGTGTTAGCATTTTTACAAATTCATAGGAGTATTGAATGAGTTGAAAGAGGACTAGAAATCTGCTTACGTTCGGTGGTCAACTATGGCAACATCGGGCTTGTTGAATCTAGCAGCCAGGTGTGCTTCTGCTAGGGCCAGACCAACCGCATTGGTACGCCTTGCCCAAGGGGGCCTGATTTCCCAAGACATAAAGGGTGCAAAAAGTATTAGACACAGATCAAAATTTGCTAAATTTATATGCTAAAGAAAGATGGCAATGGTGTATATCATCCTTTAGCAACTATGACAACAATCCAATCAATAGAGTTTCCTTACCAGTTGTGACTTCAATTCATCAGTAATTGTGTTCTCTGGGTGACCTGGAGTCCTACTACCAAGCTTAGTTAAACGTTTCAGGTCTTCAATCTAGGTAAGACAATTAAAAAACATCCCCTGTCAGAAAATCAACCTTGTATTCCTTCTACGTTACTGTTTTAGAATTGCAAGTATTTATGGGAACATTAAATTCTCTCGTTCTATATATCTCAATAGATAAAAAAATTGATGATTAAATTTGGTAGCATTTTATCAACCTATGCAGGATAATATACACTAAAGAAACCATAGTTGAAATAAAATCAAAGAAATCCAAATATCAAGGATATTATGTACCTGAACTGATTGAAATCCAGCAAGATGAAGACAAACATATTGAAGAAGACATCCGTGCCCTGCACTTAAGACAAACCTATCCCTATTGAACCACTTGGGATTCCTCGGATTATACCTCATGGCATGCCTGTATAGAAAATAGCCCACTTCAGCCATCCCAAGCGCCATTCCAGGGTGGCCAGCTTTTGCATGATTCACAGAGTCTACTATTAACATTCTGACATTGTCCACGCCCTTTTGTCCACCAATTCTCGAAACCTTTCATCATCATTTCCCATTGTTGGCTTGAAATTTCAGATGGATATGCTCTTTTTAGCTCTTCCAGCCACGAATGCTTATACTCGGAATCACTGAAAAGTGTTGCACTGATCGGGGGTGAAGTTTCTGCAGTCTCTTTCCTGAGACTGTTCTTGCAAGTTAAACACCTCAATCCAGTCTATTGCTCGTATAGCATCTGTGGCTGTTTTCAGCGGTTGGTTTGGTGGAAAGAATAGGAGGGCAGGGCCTGAGGAGAAGAGAAGAGATGGCCATGATTGCGATCAAAGGAGGCAAGCAGAAACAGATTTTGGCCGTTTAGGAGGTGAGACTTCGGCGACTTGGCGAATTTGACCATATGGATTTGGATTACCAGATCATCTGTCGATTTTGGATGACACAATTAAAAAAAGATGCGTACATATATTCACATCGTACACGTAGAAAGAGCAAAGAGGCATGCAGCAGATTGATGATCCTGCCTGGACTAGGGAGGAGGCGACAGGTAGCTACATTACAAGCCTAGAAGTCCTTTATTTATTTATTTATCTTTTGCCAAGTTGCATTTGACTTCCTTTTTTGTTTTTTAAAGTTAATACAATTATGTCTGATATCTGCGTATGGTTTGGTTGATGATATATCTTGTGTCGGTGTAAATATTAATGAAATTATAATACTCCCTCCGTTCCACTTTGATAGTCCTAATTTCATTTTTCACACAGTTTAAGAAAAAGTAATTAACTTTGTTGGAACAATCAATTTAGGTAGCTATTTTCTAAAATACCCTCACATTAATTAGAATACAACTTTATGGGAACTTGGATTGATGGTAAAAAAAGAATAAACTCTCATTAAATGGGGTAGGTTTATAGTAACAACAACTTACATTGAATAAGGGTATTTTAGAAAAATTAAAATACAACTACATTCTTCAATTGGAAAGTGAACCACAATTTGGGACAAACGAAAAAGGAAAACAGGACTATCAAAGTGGGACGAGGGAGTATGTTTTGGCAAGAGAGAATTCGAGGCAATCATGTCTTATATATGCCTTTGACAAAATCAAAACCTAATGTATCATCTTCAACGATGATAATTGATTGTCACTGTATTTGATCAAGTTTGCTAATGTATGAGGGAAAAGTTAAAAGAGTTTTGTGTTCTTGTAACTTATTTCCTGCAATCTTATCTCTTTGCGAAATTGACTTCGTACAAAAAATTTTCATTCAAAAAAAAAAAGGAAAGAAATAATCTAAGCAACTAAAATGTTAAATAATAATGTAATGTGAAAGTAAAAAGTATATATGACAACAGGATTTATCTCAAGCTTACAAGGAAAAAAAAAAAGAAAAGAAAAGGTGATCTTTTGCCCTTGTTTTATGCACATGAGGAATTAACGAAAAATGATGATTTTGACTACACTTGTTATCTGAAAATGGTAATTAATCTAATTTCAGGACAAACGAAATGATAAATTTTAATTTGAAGTGTTGGAAATATGATTTTGTTTTCCAAATTTTGTTTCTCTGTTTCTTAATCATTAACAAAAGTTCGAACCCACATGCACCATTTCCCTTCGATTGGGCTGTATCTTCTGACAGGACGCCTCTATTCTGCTTGAGAGCCCGTACATTGAACGGCCTATTGATATAAAAATGACGGCCCATTTATATGGACAAAGAAGTTTGTTTCTAACCCTTTACTCATTTGAGGGACTATTTAAGGATGTAATCGATTGAATTCAAGTATCGCCGTTCTCAAGCTCCACTTGACATGTAGGAAGGATACTCGAGTTTGATCGAGTAGCATTATTGAAGTTAGAGCTCGAGTTCAATATATTACTCACAGAACTCGAGCTCAACTCACATGGAGCTTGAGTCAATGGGAGCCTTATCAACCTCAAATCAGGAAGATTTAGGGATTTCATTTTTCTTAACAATTTTTTAGCAAAAAGATATTATTAATCTTTAAAAAAAATTTCATTTGCCTTGAAACATTTCATAAATTCAACCACTTTTGTGGGCACAAGGATAATTTTATAATAATTATGTATTAAAAAATTAAAATTAAAAAACTCCATAAGGTTTGACGAGCGTTCGAACCTTGCCATTGGATATTCAAACTCGACTTGTTAGGCTTATTGAGCTACTCAACTTAAATCGAACTCGATCAACTTGAGTTCGAGTCTGAGTTTTTGATCGAACTGCTCGCGAGAGAGCGCGGTTTGATATTCTCTTCTGGCCAGTGACCATCCTGCAATTTTTTTCATTTTATGTTTTTTTAACTTCAAAAATGTACTGCTGTTTAGAAAAAAAAAAATGTATTACACATTAGCCTCACAAAAGATGGAAAATTTTCAAACTTTTGACTAAAATGCAATACAAGTCAAATCTCTGTGAGTGCTTTCTGAATTGAGAATCACAAATTACAAATTCAAGAAACTTTACATACAGCACCAGTTGTGTTAAAAAAAAATGATTAAGTTTGCTTTGTTTGTATTACATTTTTGCGCTTTTTGGCTAGGGTTAATTTGGACTCTTTCTGAAGGCCAATAGTGAAGTACCTTTATTAAGCAATTGAAAGAGCTAGCAAACCCTTAAATCTGTTGTGGATTCAGAGTCAATTGCCTCAGCCTACTTTGCTACTTTTGCCTTTTTTAAAAAAAATTTCTATGTTCTTTTAATTGAATATTTCATTTCAAGATTTCCGTTTTGAACATTTTTTCCCTTCATTAAAAAATAAAAAATAAGTACAATTCTTGTTGTAACTTTTTACAGTGGGCCGGCATAGAAATTACAAGTTGTGAATGATGTCCCTATTCCTGTCATGCAATTATGTATAGGTCCTGGTGAAAAACGAATATAACATTCCTGCCTGTGCAGGGGACAAGTACAAGACAGAGGAACCAGAGTTGCATCCCTGTTGGAAATACTGTCGGCGGTTCATTGGAATGATTTGCCTTCCACCCGATGATCATATATTGCTATTTTTTCGTAAATATCATATATTATTTTTTTTATTTTTTAACTATTAACTAAGCAATACATAAAATTTAACAAACTCAAAAAATTAAAATAAACAAAAAGTGAGTTTTTTTAATGAATTTTCTGCTGTATATTTTGATTTTCTATTATACATTATTTTTTTGAAACTGTTGTATATTTTTTTTTACTGTGTTAGTAGTTATTAGAAAAAGAATTAATATATAATATTTATAAAAAAAATAACAATATAATAAAATATAAAATATAAAGTTACACAGAAAATGAAATAGAAGATCTGCTACGTAATAGTTGCCTCGACTGCCTTCTTGGATTTGTATACCTGCAATTGCTCCAAAATGCAAGGATTCTGTGCAATGCAGATTTTTTACATTTAGAATCTATTATGGATAATGAAACCTTCAATGAGTACCGGAAAATATTCCAAAATGGATTTTAGAAATAACGAGTGGAAAGTTAAATATATGTACTATCGAGAGAGAAAGAATCTCTAGTCATCAAACTTATTTTCTTCTGCCATGTGCCAGCATGTGACATTTCATTTGAATTATTGAGCTAAATTTGACTTAATCATTACTAGTTGAATCTTCTAAAAAAAAAGATGCAAAAGATACAAAACCATCGTACATTGAAATTTCTACCCTTCTGGAAACAAAATGTGACCCCCTCTTCAATGAATTTGTCGAAGGAAAAAACTGCAGGTGGACCAAATATTCATATCAGGATAAACGTGATGGTCGTCTATCTGCCCAAATTGATCATAACTTCTTTATATTATCCTTACGTCGAAGGAATTAAGATAATAGACACATCTATTCGTTTTTATATTCATCCAACATGAACTCGTTCAGTAGCATTCAAGTTAGTGATCACATTAACATATAGTTTTAGTGTTGAAAAAAACACATGCTCAAGCAAGTCTCAGGGTGATTAAAATTGTTTGTAAGGATAAGGTTCCTCTGTGACGAGAACTAACAGATGTAAACAGGGATCATGGCATTAGGTATTAGGCCTATATATGGCCTTGTATTTTTATTCAAGCCTTGTCCCCTCTCAAGATTATTCTTCCTCTATTTCTTGAAGAGATTGCTTAATTAGATGCAAAGTTGAAGAACAGGGAAAAGGGAGACTCGCAAAAGAAACTGCCTAGTCACAATATGAACCAGAATGCCTCTTCTTGGCATTTTAAGCATCATGCATTTGCATAGGGCACTTAAGAAATCGTGGGGCTGGGCTGACTTGCACAAGAAAGAGCTTAGATGTCGCAAAGGGTCACTTCGTGCGTATGTAGGCCAAGAATGCAAGACGAGACATGGAGTGAATTTGAGCTTGCTGAAGCATCCTCTTTTCATGGCATTGCTTGCAGAAGAGGTTTTTGGTTTCCCACTCGTACTCTCTAACTTCCTTTACCGTGCAATGAGGACGTTTTTCTTCACACACTAATGCAATGCACTATCTCAGAAAAAGGTCGACAGTGAAATGTGCCATCCCCTCTCTTTTTTTTTTTGGCCAACATTGTGTAGGGGTTTACGTAACATCTTTCTTCTTCTTTTTTTCTGGGAAAGTTCTTTGAAGGGCTATCTTTTATCTAGTTCCAAGAGTATGACAGGAGCATGTCTCCGGTTGAGTTTTTGACACATGCTGGAAATTACTGAATTTGTTTTGCAGGGAATTCTTGTTCATGCATCGATCCCTAGGTTTATTTCAGAAGTATTCATATGCAGATCTTCAAGAAGGGGTAAGAGGAGCCAGTTGGCTAATGATACCGTGATGTGGTATTCATATTGAATCTTGAACAACACTTTTAACATCGTTTTAGCTTGATATCTAGATTGCATTTTCACTGCGCAGCCAAGTAAAATATGGTGAGGACGTGTTTTGGACTCTGCCAAATTTTTCTAACCAACTGTCGTGAACCAATTGTGATATCGATCTTGTCCAACGACTGGTATAGAAGTCTACTCTGAATTGAACGTGAAGTTTCAACTCATTAGCTTGATTAATTTAATCAAATGATTAGCTTTAATAGTAGCTCTATTCTTCATCTCAGTTGTATTTGGAAAGCAGCCGTCAATATGACGATGGTCTTTTATGTTGATGTCAAACGCTCAATTCCACGTTTATAGACGCCTTCAGGCTAGTTGAGATTTTGTTTGGCAATACAAGGAAAATGAGAATCATCAGGTCTGGAGATTTCCTGTATTTCTTCACCTACTTTTTTTTTTTTTTTTTTTTGACCCAGGGGGTAGGTGGCTCTTGTCAGCGTGATCCTGATCTTCTCCTACCAAATCAGTGTGTTAGGTGAAATCCAAAGTGGGGATGCAAATGAGCCTAATCAATTCGAACATTCTCTAGTATTTAAACTTGTTTGACATTTTAACGAGTTTTGAAATTTTATTATTTGTCGAACCGAATTTAAATGAGTTTTTTTAATCGAACGTAAAAACCGTGCATTCTTCATTTGACTAGTTGCAAACCAAACTCCAAATATGTCAGTTGTAAGGGATGGAGGAAGTGCAAAATTTAAGGATAAACATAGAGCTTCGATGTCAAGAATACACGAAATCGCAAAGACTTTTATCCATAATTACACTTGTTGAAGTTCAACATTTATGGCAACGAACAATATCAGTATAAGACGAAAATACAAGGATCTTAAACAAGCTAGTGACAACTTGGATACAACATTCCCAAAGAGGGCAAACTAGGAAAAAAAAACAAATTTCAAGAAATTTAATAAATGAACCACAGTATGAAGAAAACATCTTAGCAAATTGGACGGGAGCACCATTCCACTCTTTCAAACAATCCAGCAATGGATCAATCAACTTCCCTTCACATATGGCAGTGAATACCTTGTCAAATTTTCTCCAGGTGATCTCACCTTCTCACCAGTCAGGAAATTGGTCCCCAACTCTCCCCTCACAAGCTTGTATAATGAGTAGGACCTGCAATCCTTGATACGATTGGCAATGCCTGGCTTTCCATTCTCCAGCTCACATCTAGCACTCTCCACTTCTTTGGGCAAAAGGGCCTTTAGTTCATCCTCAAAGCACCGATCTTTTGGAAAATTGAAGTGGTTGCGTCCTTCTCCTTGTCCCCATTTGCTAAGGAGTGCTCCACTAGGACTTGCCTTAGCTTTTGCATGAGGGGGTAGGTTCCACTACAGGGGTCATCAATGTAAGCAAAAACATGCTCTCTGTCCACCACTTTGAGCAAGTCTTTTTCGCAGAATCTAGATGGGTGCAATTCGCCATTGTAGCCCATTGTTAGCACTTTCTTGGCTACAAGGCTAACTGTGTTTTTCACTGAGGCCTTCAAGTTCTCCTCCAGGTGCCTCAGGTCAATTGCCTGGCACAATGCAACCAAATAGGTCGATGACATGAGCTTCAATATGTCCACAGCTTCTGCTGTTTTTCTTGATGAGATCAATCCTAATGAGTTGACATCTTGGTTGTGTTGCTCTGCACTTTGCACATGGTTTGTGACAGGATTGGCTAGGAACTGAAGTTCAGAGCAGTAAGCTGCCATGGCAATTTCAGCACCTTTGAAACCATAGTCCAAACTTGGATTACGTCCCCCAGATAGGTTTGAAGGCAATCCATTGTTGTAAAAGTCATTAACCAGCTCAGAAAATTGTGCGAACATGAGTTTACCAATTGATGCAATTGCTAGACGGGTGTTATCCATCGAGACTCCAATTGGTGTACCTTGAAAGTTCCCACCATGTAAGGCCTTATTCCGGGAAACGTCGATCAAAGGATTGTCATTCACAGAATTGATCTCTCTTTCGATGGATTTTGTCGAAGCCCTGATGACTTCAATCAATGGACTAGCCATTGTGGGGATGTTCGGAGTGCATAACGATCTTGTTTGGGCTTTTGCAAAGGGTCGAATTCATTAACCCTCTGAGCTTCTTTAACAAATGAACTTCCATCCAAAATGTGTTCCATAATAGCTGCGGCCTCAATTTGACCAGGATGGTGCTTCAGTTTATGAGTCAAATGGTCTGTAAACTCTGGCTTCCCGTGCATAACTTCAGCAAAAATTCCTGAAAGAACTTCAGCAAGAACAGCAAGAATATTAGCCTCAAAGAGAACCATGGAAGCCAAGCCAGAGCCAACAGCAGTGCCATTCACAAGTGCAAGGCCTTCTTTCGCCTGCAGCTCGAAAAATCCAGTGTCAATCCCCGCCAGGCTGAATGCTTCAGTAGCATTGACAAATTTTCCATCAGGTCCAACAGCCTTGGAATTTGGTCGACCTGTTAATAATCCAACAATGTAGGAGAGTGGAACCAAATCACCGGAGGCGGTGATCGTTCCGCGGAGGGGCAAACATGGGGTGATATTATTGTTGAGAAGCTTTGTAATAGCTTCCAGAATCTCAAATCTGATGCCAGAGTACCCCTGAAGGAGGGTGTTGATTCGAACAAGCATCGAAGCCCTTGTTGCCGAGTGAGTGCAATGTGTGACATGTTTCGGTCCCGTTGCCAAAAATTCCAGCATTCAAGAATCTGTGCCAAACAATCAAGTATTAAGATAATATTCAGGGTAGAAAAACTCTTCACTGTCTACTCAAGAAAGAAATCAATGAAAATCACTCGTCAAGAAGTTGTTTTTTTTTTTCTCTTTTCTAAGAACCCAAATAAAAAAAAATGCACAAGCTGAAAAATGTTTGTGCATTACGATCCAATTAAATTATTGCGGGTTGTACTATTTTTTTGTACTGTAATTTCAATTGACAAAGTCTCGACGGGAATTTTGGCTTGCCGGTTGGAAAGGGATGAAAATGACCTACTCAAAGATGCCACTCGACGGGACTTTAACCTTACTTCTTGGTGGTACATTCGTGCGTACACGTCTTGCGCGACAAAACAAATGAGTGAAGACAATCTCGAAACTCATTCTCACCTCATAAAATGCTAAAACAAATGGAACCACCAAAAATGCATTTCCTATAAAAGTCCCTGTACGAAAACAGACAAGCCTTATCTCTATTCCAATTTAATGTTGTTATTTTATCGACTATACTGTAGTAAAAAAAAATGTTTTAAAAGCTTAGCGACATGCAAGCTTAAGCACCTAACTGGACATGATGACAAAATTCAGGACGTGAACCAAATCAGTGTGAATTAAAACGTGGGTACAGTAGATGAAAATAATTGATTGGTTTAGAATTTGGTCGACCCACCTGGACCATCTAATAGTGCAGGCCTTCATGATCTAAGTTAATGGAGATTCTGTCTAGCTTCTAATCACCTCATATCGCTACTTACTATTCAAACTCTGTTTTTGTTAGAATTGGACCACATTTATGACATACTAAGAATTTTATTTGGCATATTTTGTGCACAGCCAAAGCAGATAGATATGCTTTTCGTTTTTAGTTGTTTGTTGAACCAAGAATCGCAGCCATCATTAATTATTGGCACTAATAAGAGTGCGTGAGCTCCCAATTTGCATTTTCAGGTCAGAAATCAGAATGGCCCTATAGTTTGATTAAGAGCAAAGCCAAAGCCTTCTTTTTAGGTATGGCCAGGCCAGCCTTGAATGCATTTTCTTTTTAGGTATGGCCAGGGCCAGCCGGCCCTTGAATGCATTAACTTGTTCTCAATTAGCCCTTTTCCTTTTTCTTTTTCATATTGAACAAAAAAATAATTCATTTGAAAGCTTAAATAGTAATTAACCCCCTGTTTTACATTCATAACTCGGTCTGAGAATTATATATATATATATATATGCTAAAGAATTATGCAGCAAAAATATGTTACTCCGTCCTTTGAAAGGAAGCATGGCCGGCGGAGAAACATTAATAGACTATTACTATATACTGTTGTGTTTTTATTCCCGAAAATTCTTGTTGGTTTTGTTGCAACATCAATGTCAAAGTTTATATATTTTTATTTCATCCACAACTACAACTGATAAAATAGTCAGTAGTGAATAACAAAATGGTACTAGTTCCTTTTCACTTTTTGTTTTCTCACCTACGTCCTACTAACTATTAATACGAGTATCTTAATATATTGTTGATTGGCCCCTTTTAGTTCTAGTTACTTGACTTGCAAAATTATTTATTTCTTCAACAAGTTTTCTACAGCTGTAACTAAATGTTTTCTTCTGCTTGTCCCCACCAATAATGATCTTTTCTGAGTCGAAAACGAAAAGAAATGTACCTGGCGGAATTTTAAGAGCACACGCAGAACATGTCTGCAGTCCTCGGAATTTTTTTAACCCTTCGGCGCCTAAAGGTAATATTGCTGAGACAATCAGGAGTCTTGGTGTCTTATTACCCTATTAATAATAATTATTGGCTGCTTTTCTTCGTTTTTGAGTTTTTGTTAATAAATGTGTGTGCCCAGCTGCACGAACCTACCTACATCATCAGGGGCCACGAAATGATAGACAGTCCAAGAAACTTTTCTCCAAGAAAGAAAAAAGAAATTTCAACCAATCCTTTTCAGCAGTAAAGCCAAATCTTAAGGTTGTTTGGCCCCACTCAATATTGATTTATGAACTTGCCTGAAACTTCAAGACTGCATTTCAATGTGAATTACTTCTCCTAGAACCAAGCATGCATTATTATTATTCTTGATTATCATCAAGTCACCCCTATTCCATTTGCAAAGGTTAATTTTGCAATCTATAGCGAAATACTCTGTATCACTCATCTACATGCACCATGATGATGATCTACTGTATGGTGGTATATGCCCTGACAAATTTCTTAAATGCGGCGTAAATTAGACGAGTTTAACACTCACTCATGATCAGGACATGAGCTTCATAGTTTAGTGCAACAGGATTTAGCATTAATCTTACCGAATGAGCTCCTCCTGGAGAGCTCCGCCGTGTTTGGTTCTCCTGTGTGACGTTGCACCAAAGCCGGTGGTGATACCGTAACTATCAGTGCCCTTTCTCATGCTCTCCATAACCCAGTCACTGCTGGCCTTGACGCCGGCCCTGGCACCCTCCGACAGCTCCACCTTAACGGCTGCGTCGGAGGAAGCAGCTATGGCCGCCACCTGAGCTATCGTCAGCGTCTCACCACCTAGCCGGACCAGGGGCCTCCTGAACTCATCGACCATCCGCTTGACTTCATCAAGATGACTTCCTTTTAAAGACTCCGCGGCTGCGTTCCAATTTAACGGGTCCGGTGCTGGCCCGGCCCGTTGAGTACAAAAGGTCTCCGCAAGGTCATTACCAT